CACCAGAGCAGGAATAAGCGTCAAGGTGTTAATTTCCCCCCAGGTGAAATGGGCTAAGTGTTATCCCCATTTCAAAAAAAAAGAGATCTCCATAGAATCATAGAATCATAGAGTTGGAAGAGACCACAAGGGCCATCGAGTCCAACCCCCTGCCAAGCAGGAAACACCATCAGAGCACTCCTGACATATGGTTGTCAAGCCTCTGCTTAAAGACCTCCAAAGAAGGAGACTCCACCACACTCCTTGGCAGCAAATTCCACTGTCGAACAGCTCTTACTGTCAGGAAGTTCTTCCTAATGTTTAGGTGGAATCTTCTTTCTTGTAGTTTGGATCCATTGCTCCGTGTCCGCTTCTCTGGAGCAGCCACTGTCCTTTTGAGATAATTGCTTGGCCGGCTGCCTTAGGTGCCAGCGACCTGTTTTCCTAACTCCGCATCTGACAATTAAAAGTGGTGCGACTGGTCTTTATGATGGCATTGTTGTGGTCAGGAGAAACCCTGGGATGCCCAGCGCTTTTTACCCCCATTAAAAATTGGGGAGTGGCTGCCTTGCCCGTAATTTGCCAAGTTAAAAGCTGCCAACCCTGCCCAGGTACAGGGAGGCAGCAGAATTGGCCAAGAATAAACAGGAGTCTTTGCTGGAGAATTTACATGCAGTTTCCTGGCGCTGAAATACTTGGTCCAAGGTTTCCATCTGGTGGTAGAAAATGACGTGACAACATTTCCCCCATCCTAATTCCTGCATTCCTCCCTGGAGTGAGTCAGGGCCACACAGTAGATGTTAAAGATGCATTTAACATGGCAGGAGGTGTTTTTTTAATGACTGAGGGATGGAGGCTGAAAATAATCAGATTTGCAACAGACGTGAAGCATGGGGGGGGGGAATTTACCCTTTCCTCTCTTGCTGTGGTCCCGCGGGAAATCTTTTCCATCTGAACTACACAGTTAAAACTTTACCATTCCATTTTAAAACAGTCGTGGCTTTCCCCAGAGAATCCTGCAAGTGCGGCTTTCTCCCAATTGAAGTGCAGAGTGTTTGAGGACTGGGACATTCACAGGGAAACCAAAATGCTTGTTTACAAAGCAATTTTACTACCAACCTTACTATATGCTTGTGAAACATGGACCACTTACAATCGTCATCTCCAACTCCTCAAAAGATTCCTTCAATGGTGTCTCCAATATTTTTTACACATCACTTGGGAAGACAGGTGAACTAATACTAGTGTATTGGAAGAAGCAAAGATCACCAGTGTCAAAGTAATGATCCTTCAACATCAACTTGGTTGGACTGGTCATGTTGTTTGGATGCCTGATGATCGTCTTCCAAAGCAACTACTGTATTCCAAACTTTAAAATGGAAAGTGTAATGCTGGTGGTCAACAAAAGAGGTTTAAAGACTCTTTCAAGGCAAATCTTTAAAAAATGTAGTATAAACACCAACAACTGGGAAACACTGGCCTGCGAGCGCTCCAGTTGGAGAACAGCCTTTCCCAAAGGTGTTGTGGGCTTTGAAGATGCTCGAACTCAGGACGCAAGGGAGAAACGTGCTAAGAGGAAGGCACACTTGGCAAATCCACACCAGGATCAACTCCCGCCCGGGAACCAATGTCCCCACTGTGGAAGGACGTGTGGATCCAGAATTGGCCTCCACAGTCACTTACGGACTCACTGTTAAAACCGTGTTTATGGAAGATAATCTTACTCGACTATGAGGGATCGCCAAAGAAGAAGAGTTTGTTAAAGGTGCCAAGTTGTTAGGACACCCCCCCCCCCAAATTCCCCTCACAAGGCTACAATTTCCAGAGTCACCTGGGAAGAGGGATTGATAACTAAACTGCTATAACATTTCTAGCCTTGTAGGGGGAATATGGAGGGCTCCTAACAACTCCCAACAAACTACCCTCCCCACGATTTTTTCACGGAAGCCATGCCTGTTTAAAGTAGGGTGAGACTGCTTTAAATGTACAATGCAGAAGGGGCCTAAATCTTTTTTTTGGGGGGGGGTGTTATATGCCCTATTAGCCTCCTCCCTGCCTGCAGTGCAAATTATGAATTTTAAAAGAAAGCTGTGTTTTGGAATCACAATGGAGACTGACCAGGAACAAAAGCTTGAGTTCCTAGCAGTAGCTGTGAAAAAGGAGAATCCCATGCTAAGGATTGTTAGAAAAGGGATTTAAAAACACCTGCCAAATATTGTAATGCTGTACAACTGCACTTGGAAGACTTGGATAGAGTTCTGGTTGCCACACCTGAAAAAGGATATTGCAGAATGACGGGGAGAGTTAGAGGGTACTCAATGCAGAAGGTGAATAAAGAATGGATAGTGTTTAAAGAATATTTGAAAACCTATTACAATAGCAAAAACCTCCTGGCAGACCTTAAATGATTCTTGTAATGTATAGACAACAAACTGAAGAATATTTCTCTGAAGGAAATTAAGGAACAAAGTATAATAATATGATACTGTGTGAAAAACAACAAATGAGACTTAGTTTTTTGAGAACAATCGGAAGTTTCTTTTATCCTTCTTACTTTCGTTTTTTATTTCCTTTTCCTTTATTTTTCTTGGGTGGTGTTTGTGCATAAACTGTAACATGGCAAATTGTTGTGTAAATATGTGTTGAATGTTGAATAAAGATTTATTTTAAAAAATTGAAAAAAATTAAAAAAGGAAAAAAGAAAAAGGATATTGCAGGATAAGGATAAAGGATAAGACAATGATCAAGGGGCTGGAGAGCCGCCCCTGTGAGGAAAGGTCATAGCATTGGGAACTTTTTAGCTTAGTTTCCTGCCCTGCAGGGGGGTAGGACTGGATATCCTTTGGGTGCCTTCCAACTCTAAAATTCTAACTTAAAGAGGACTGCCCTCTAGTGCTGGAACCTATTATGTACCCACTTTCTTTTCCAATTTCAGTCAGCATCACCCAACAGGCTTTCATGCCCATCTTCTCCATCAAATGGACTAGAAACTTGGTAAGTTTTTTGTTGTTGTTGTTGTTCAAGCTTCCGTTCTCAGGAATCTGATTTCTGTGGCACTTCTGGTGACATGAGGAATCTTCTGCTACAAACTTGCCTCTCTAATCAGTTTCCGCACATCTCCGGGTTTCATCCCTCCCTCCCTCAATCCATTAAAACATTTTATTTTACCCACGCAATGGAAACTTGCCTGCGTTGGAAGCCCACCTGACGCAGAATCAATATTGATATAGGTTTATTAGACCATCTGTCTTCGTTTTCAGCGGTGGTGGAATATACCGTTTCTGCACGCTCCCGCAATCTGTCAGAGACGGAAGGTGCAAAAAGGCTTCTCTTTCAAGCAAACCCAGAGAATGGATTTCAGGATCACAGGAAGCGGGCTTTGCAGAGTTAGGCCACTGGGAGATGGCAGGATTCGAACCTGGAACCTCCTGCATGCAAAGCACTGAAAACAAAGTGGTACGCGCCCATTCTCCTGGTTGCGGAAAAAAGGCTGGATTTTAAAAGGGTTGCAGGAAACTAAACCCCTGCTTCCTTTCACTCCGTAACCTCGACCCTGCCTGGCAGTGCTTAGGGCATGGGTCAGCAAACTTTTTCAGCAGGGGGCCGGTCCACTGTCCCTCAGACCTTGTGGGGGGCCGGACTATATTTTGAAGAAAAAATATGAATGAATTCCTATGCCCCACAAATAACCCAGAGGTGCATTTTAAATAAAAGGACACATTCTATTCCAGTAAAAACACCAGGCAAGATCCACAAATAACCCAGAGATGCATTTTAAATAAAAGGACACATTCTACTCATGTAAAAACATGCTGATTCCTGGACCGTCCATGGGCCGGATTTAGAAGGTGATTGGGCCGGATCCGGCCCCTGGGCCTTAGTTTGCCTACCCATGTCTTAGGGTTTTAAAGAGGGCCGACATTTTTTAAGACCAAACTATTCCGCAATGTCAAATGTGTCTTTTCAATCGATTTGTGGCTTTTGAAAAATAAATAAAGATAAACGTAGAAAGCTTCAGATGGAGAGGGGCGATAATTATTGAGCTCCCAGTGGGCAGAGGGAGCTGTTTAACTCTCCTCTCAATAACTTGCTGGCGGGGAAATCTGTGTCTCAAATAGAATGGAATGAATCTGTCAACATCAGTTTTTCTGGGATTTCCATTTCTCCAGTCTTGAGTGGCGTTTGCCACATTTCGGCATTACTGATGTTTATAGATCTATAAGTCCTCTTGAAAATTCATCAGGATCTCATGACGCCTTTCTCCCAAAACCCACAAATATTTTGCATGCAATCTACCCCGATACACACCTCTTTGCAAGAGATGTTTGCTAAATTCTTTGCATTTTTGACCGTCATTTTCACAAATAGACACCCCTTCCCTCAATCTCTGTATATATGTGTGTGTGTGTGTGTGTGTGTGTGTGTGTGTGTGTGTGTATATATATATATAGCCACACTTTTTGGTGCCTTGTAAGGTTTGGCAATGTGTGAATTTCTGAGGACGGCTGCATTTTGGACTGCGGGTGGTTTTGGGAGGAGCTGAATTTCTTCCCCAGCCCTCCCCTGGGAAATAGACCCTTCTGCATCTATTTGAACTTTTGGGGTGACCCAGAAATCTCAGGTTCTGTACCTTTCCTGGGCGCAGCTGCATTTTTAAATGCCCGCTGTCATTCCTTTCCGTCACCCACCGGCCACAGAGGGCCCTGCTGGTCTGTCCCGCGGAGGACCTTAAGGTCCACAAATGACAACACTTTGGAGGTCCCGAGCCTCAAGGAGGTTAGATTGGTCTTAACTAGGGCCAGGGCCTTTTCAGCACTGGCCCCAACTTGGTGGAACGCTCTAGGGCCCTGCGGGACTTGACATCTTTCCGCAGGGCCTGCAAGACAGAGCTGTTCCGCCTGGCCTTTGGTTTGGACTCAGTCTGACCCTTATGTTTCCCTCCCCTTACGGTTTTGATTTATGGGCTACTATTAAAATGAGGCTGCATTTTAAATTGGTTTCTTTTCCCCTATTATGTTTTTACTGCAATTTTACTGGTGTTAGCTGCCCTGAGTCTGGCTCTGGCCGGGGAGGGCGGAGTATAAATAAAATTTATTATTATTATTATTGGCAAGGATCAGACAGGATTAATTTCTGCTGCCCTGGTAGTTAACCCTCCTCTTTAATTAAATATTGGACTGCACTGAAAATGAAAAGCCTGCTGGTACCAGCGAAACTGTCCCTTACCACTTTGATTGGCAGAACTGGCACCAAAAGCTACAGGTACCACATAATACCTGTTCCCAAGCACTGCAAACCTGGAAGTGACTGTTCTGGTTTTGAAATATACTCGGAATCGAATGTGGATTTCATGCTCTTTATTCAGCTCAGAGCAGTGAGGAGGAATGGAAGTTCCCCCGAAATGTCTGCTTTATATACATTATTTACACAATGGGCCCCACGTGATTGGCTAATTCTGGGATTCTCCTGTAGGCCAATCAGGTTGCGGATTCACTTCCAACCGGAGTTGGATTGGGTGGCTCCTGCGGACCAATCAGACTACGCATTCTGGATCCTGTTGTTCTAGGACCAATCAGACTGCTGCATTCTGAATCCTATTGTTCTAGGACCAAACACACTGCTGCATTTTGGATCCTATTCAACTCAGTACATAACAGCTTTGCGAACTATTTTCGGAAGCCGAACGTCCGATGGGGCTTCCGCGGCTTCCGATTGGCTGCAGGAAGCTCCTGCAGCCAATCGGAAGCCGTGCTTTGGTTTCTGAACATTTTGGAAGCAGAACGGACTTCCGGAACAGATTCCAAGCTCCAACTGTATTTCAAACCCTTGGAATACATGGAATCAGAGAGTTGGAAGGGACCCCAAGGGTCATGTAACCTGCAGGGCGAGAGCTGATGGGAGGAGGAAATGGACGTGAGAACCTGGCAGCCCAAAAGGAAGGTGCCAGCCATTTTTCTCCAAGCAGGGAGCAGAATAATAGAATGAGCTAGATGCCCGGCAGACCATTTTCCCAATCCCTCATTTGCTCAGGGCATAATCTTGCGACCACAGCATCCCTGGCCGATGGCTGTCCACCCTCTGCTCACATATCTCCCATGAAGAAGACCCCATCACCTCTTGAGACAGGCTGCCTCAATGCTGAATGGCTTGGGTGCAGGGAACCAGGCAGAGGGCCTTCTCGGTGGTGGCACCTGCCCTGTGGAACACCCTCCCATCAGATGTCAAGGAAATAAACAACTACCTGACATTCAGAAGACATCTGAAGGGAGCCCTGTTCAGGGAAGTTTTTAATGTGTGACATTTTGTTTTCCCTTTCGTTTCCCACCAAGTAGACCTTGCAATTCCTTCTGACACCTCCCCTCTTGCTTCACTCGGGCTGTAATCCTGTTGGCCCTTGCTTCTTGCATTTGGCATGAGAAGGGTTGATGGGAGAATCACAGAATCATAAGACTGTAGGGCTGGAAGGGACCGTGAAGGTCATCCACACCAACCCCCTGCAATGCAGGAATGTGTAACCTTGGAGATACACATTTCAAGCGTGGAGAGGATTCCAGCGGCTCATATTGAGGGGCCAGTCAGGCCAGTGTCATGGGCCTCAGAGGGCCTCACTCTTGGGGCCCCAACAATCGGCCACCTCAAAAACTGCAGGTCTTCCTTCCGTCCTGCTGTGATGGTGGCACCCAACATCCCGTTGGCATCCAGTTATGAGCCTGGATGTGGTAACCAGAGCCCCCACTTTGAGACCTTTCCCCCAGAAACATTTGCAGGGTGTGGGTGTGTGGTGTTGTTCTCAAACGCAGCCCAGCAGCTCAAAACACCGGAAGAGCTGTTTCTTCACACCGTCCACAGATTGATTTGAAACAAGACCCATCCAGAGGTCTTCCATGACACAATGGCGGCAGAGTGAGCTTGTGGGATTCCCACCGCAGGCTTTGGATAGCCCATTGTGAGAGCAAGATGCTGGACTGGATGGGCCTGATCCAGCAACCAGGCTCTTCTTCTGTTCTTACAAAGGTCTACCCGGCCGGCAAAAAGACCCTCTTTGCTAAGATAGAAGACCCTGAGCAAGAGAAGCCATGCCTCCTCCTGCCAACTGAACTGACTTCCTGCCGACAGCAGTGACTTCCTGTCAGGGAGTTGCCCATGCCTCCTCCTGCCAACTGAACTGACTTCCTGCCGACAGCAGCAACTTCCTGTCGGGGAGTTGCCCATGCCTCTTCCTGCCAAATGAACTCACTTCCTGCCGACAGCATCCACTTCCTGTCAGGGAGTTGCCCATGCCTCTTCCTGCCAACTGAACTGACTTCCTGCCGACAGCATCAACTTCCTGTCAGTGAGTTTCCCGCCCACCAGCGCCCCCTTCAGGGCAGCAGGCAATCCAGCGGGACATCGCACTCCCCCAACACCGCATCCCTCCGGAGGCCGGAGCCCTTGTTGAGCACCTTGAGCCTCAGGCTGCACCTGGACAGCTCCTCCGGGGAGACGCCCTCAAAGAAGAAGTCCTCGTTGAAGATGGGGTTGCGGCTCCTCTTGACGACGGCGCTGCGCTGCCTCAGGCCTTCCCCGGGCCGCAGCTGCAAGGAGACGCAGCAGCTGAAGTGTCGCGGGTCGCAGTGGGGAGGGTAGAAGGCCTCGGCGCACACCAGCCGGACGCGGAGGCGCCCCTGGGGCTGAAGGTACTCGCTGGAGAGCCTCAGCCGCCCGCCTTTGCTCACCGTCAGCACCACCTCCTTGGTGAGCCGCTCGTGGCAACGGATCAGGTCCAGCGGGAAGAGCGGCAGCGGGGCAGGGGAGCCCCAGGGGGGATCCTTCTCCCGGCGCGGAAAGCTGGGGCTGGTGTCAGCAGAGCTGGTCTCCTCTGTGGACAAGGAGCTGGGCCGCGGGGCAACGCCGAGGTCGCTGGAGCAGAAGGCGAATCTTCGGCGATGCCGGTAGGCCGGACAGAACGGAGGGCAGCTCAGAGGCCGCGGCAGCAGGGGAGAGCTGAAAGGGGACGTCTCGGTGGAGGAGGCCGTGTCACTGTCGAACATCAAACCAGGCTGCAGGGAAGGCCTCGTCGGCGGAGCGGAGAACCGGGCCCCTTGCAACCGGCGCGGCAGGCGTCCGCCGTGGAAGAGGGACTCCCGGCGGCGGGTGTGCGGGCTCTCAGGCAGGAAGGGCAAGCCCGCGGGGCTGGCGAGGTGGGGCATGGAGGAGGTGCTGTAGAGGCGCCCCACGGCCTGGACCTCCCCCTCCTCCGGGCTCTCCACCTGGATGACGTGCTGCTCGGCCGACCGGGCCAGGATCCCTCGGCCGTCGGGGCTGTCGCTCCTGCACGAGCGCTGCCCCTGCAGGCTGGCCAAGTTGGGAGGGATGAAGAAGGTGGGGATTGTGTCCGGCGTGATCACGTTGGGGCAGGCGGGGCAGGGGCTCGGGGGCTTCCTTCGGGAGAACATCTCAGGGCAGGCGGAGGCCGGGCGAGGGGGAATTCAAAGCAGGATGGAGGGCAGAGGTCCTGCGAGAGCACCAAGGATTCTCAGGGTGGTCTGGGAAGAAAGATGGAAAATGGTTAGCACCTGAGGGAGGAAGAGACTATTTGCCATGGCCAAAGTCCCAGGGACACGTCCAAACTTTCTACTACAGTTTTGGACGGTGTCAAGGGCGCCCCCAAGCCAAAGAATTGCACATAGTATCCAAACAAACCCTTGCGTTGCAAAGAGAACATCAATAACGTCGAGACAACACGATGACCATATATACGTAATAGGCAATCTTTACAGAATTCCTTCAAATCATAAAAAGTTCAAAATGAAATCTTTAGTCTCAAAGTCTCTGAAAATCTTTCAATGAAGCGAGGTACCAAACTTTGTGTGAGGGACCCAGGTGACGCTGTGGGTTAATCCACAGAGCCTAGGGCTTGCCGATCAGAAGGTCGGCGGTTCGAATCCCCGGGACGGGGTGACCTCCCATTGCTCGGTCCCTGCTCCTGCCAACGCAGCAGTTCGAAAGCACGTCAAAGTGCAAGTAGATAAATAGGTACCGCTCTGGCGGGAAGGTAAACGGCGTTTCTGTGCGCTGCTCTGGTTCGCCAGAAGCGGCTTAGTCATGCTGGCCACATGACCCAGAAGCTGTATGCCAGCTCCCTCGGCCTGTAAAGCGAGATGAGCGCCGCAACCCCAGAGTCGGCCATGACTGGGCCTAATGGTCAGGGGTTCCTTTTCCTTTACCTTACCAAACTTTGTAGGGTGGAAAACAAGCTGTGAAGCTTTGTGTATTCAACAGTGGTGTCCAACACTGAACAGTAATTCCTGATACTGACTACTGTTTTGTAGAATTCTTCATCAGCGTGGTGGGTGGATATAGAATGCTTCATAAATCCATCTTATTTAGAATGAATGTATATAAATGAAAATATCAAATTTGTTGGAACAGTGCTCATGTAATAATGTAGTCACTTCTGAAATAAGATGGTTTCACAGCTTGTTTTCCACCGTACAAAATTCAGTGTTGGACATCGTTGTTGAATACACAAAGCTTCACAGCTCTTTTTCTACTGTACAAAGTTTGGTACCTCACTTCATGTAAAGATTTTCAGAGACTTTGAGACTAAAGATTTCATTTTCAACATTTTATGATTTGAAGGAATTCTATAAAGATTGCCTATTACATATGTACATGGTCATGGTGTTGCCTAGACATTGTTGAAAGAATTGCACATGCAGATAGTTAACTCTTTGGGGTCAAAGGTGACCCTCTCTCGGCTCCAAATACCGCCCCCCACTAGCCTAGCGTCTAGGCAGCTATTCCCAGATCTATGGAGCAGCAGTTGCAGCAACAGGGGACCCCCCTGCCCTAGTTATATACTTTCCCCTCGATGCGCTATGCACAGCCAGCCAGAGACTAGGCCTGCATGGAAATGCCCTCTGCTCCTCCCTTTTCACCCCCTCCTGGTTCTGGGAGGCAGTGGTGCCGGAGAGGGTGGGGAAGTCCTTCACTTGCCTGGCCTGCCTCTTCCTCCTCTTCCTCCAGCGCTCCACCCTCTAGCTCTGAAGCTTCCCCTGCCTCCGACTCTGGCCTCCTGGCTGACACAGGTCCCCACAGATCACGGACGCCTCTCCCCAGTCAGACTCCAGCCCCCCTTTCCCCTAGTGGACATTCACCAGCGTCCAGCCAGAGGGTGAAGAACAAAGCATTTTCAGGTCTCATGAGGACTAGAAACTCTTCTTTTCTTTCAGGTTGCTGAATTCAAAACCAAATGCTGGGTTCCAGGCTCGACAATCCCATGGAGTCCTGCCCCCCCCGAAGGGGACCTGCCTTCCTCCACTACTATTTCCACCCCCCCCCAGCGAATTTGGAGGATGCTTTCTCCTTGAGCAAAATACTTTACATGGTTGTCACAAGGCTGAAAGGAGCTAAGGGTGTTGGAAGAAAACCTACTTCATGTGCACTGGTGCAAAGTGGCTGATCCACTCACTAGGCACCGCTGCCTTTCAGCCCACCAACACACTCCCATCAATCCCTGTTTATTTGTTTGTTTTCATAATTCCTTCTTTCCTCCACACACAACCCCTTTTGATTCTCACATGCGCCACTAAATGTAACTGTGCTGAACAACCCCCTTCATCACCGCTCATAAGAACGTAAGTTTGGCCCTTCTGGATCCGGCCCATGGCCCATCCAGTCCAGGACCCCGTTCTCGCAGTGGCCATCCAGATGCCTGCGTGGGAAACCAGTGAGAAGGATTCGAACACAGGAGCGCTCTCCCCTCCTGCTGAGCCGCTGTGGCGAGCAGCCATTGATATCATTTCCCTCTGCGATTTCCCCCAGTCCCCTTTTAAAGCCGTCCAAATGGGGTGGCCATTCCTGTGGGAGGGAGTTCCGAAGTCCCGTGAAGAAAGAATTTGTCCCATCCTCTTTCAAAGCCACATGGCCACCTGAAAGCCTCTTTGAAAAACATAGCAGGGCCCTTTCTAGTCCCCATGACCCCGTGGTCTTTGCTTCCTTTGAAAGGGACGTGTGGGAGAGGGCAAGAGAGAGAGAGTCGTTGCCTCTGGCAAAAGCCGAAAGGCGGCTCCAGCACCTCGCAACAGAGTCATTAAACCGGGTACCTGTCGGAGCGTAGCTAAGTAGCTCTTTGCCACTGACGTCATTCTGCTCTCCTGAGTCCTCTGAAAAGTTTTCAAATGTCAGGAGGAGGAGGGAAGTCGAAGCCGGAGCTCTTGCTGTACAGGGTGGAAAGCTGAGCAACGTATCTCCTAGTCGAGGCTGATCCTGGAACCTCCTGTGTTCAAAGGAACTGCTCTAACCGATGAGCTATGGCCCTTCCACAAAGATTCTAGTCCTCACTGTTTTGAACCAAGGCTTCGTCTTATGGAATAGGATGTCCCTATTATCATCAGAGAAATTTAGGAGGATATGATGTTCTTAAAGGTAAAGGGACCCCTGACCATTAGGTCCAGTCATGGCTGACTCTGGGGTTGTGGCGCTCATTTTGCTTTATTGGCCGAGGGACCCGGCATACAGCTTCCGGGTCATGTGGCCAGCATGACTAAGCCGCTTCTGGCGAACCAGAGCAGTGCACGGAAACGCCGTTTACCTTCCCGCTGGAACGGTACCTATTTATCTACTTGCACTTTGACGTGCTTTTGAACTGCTAGGTTGGCAGGAGCAGGGACTGAGCAACGGAAGCTCACCCCGCCGCGGGGATTCGAACCGCCGACCTTCTGATCGGCAAGTCCTAGGTTCAGTGGTTAAGACCACAGTGCCACCCGCGTCCCCAGCGCCACTTGCCTGGTGTCTAATGAAGGCGCCAGCTGGACCTCCCTGGGGAGAGCATTCCAAAAATGGGGAGCCACTGCAAACAAGGCCCTGGGAGTTGGTGCCTATGGTGCCAGACTAGCTGAGCCATTGGCTTTATCTAGCAGGCTCTTCTTACATTCTTGTGATTACAGTCCTGTCGGCAGTCGCCAGCGGCGCTCGCTATTAGAGGGAATGATCTATGAAGAATTGTGAAGTGGGAGTCCCAAATCCGGCTGGTTTGTTGTCTGGTCATTTATGTCGCCACACCACAAGGGGACGTGCATTGCAAAGCAGTAGAGCATCCTGACCGTCTTGGCAACAGGGACATATTTCCTCTCCCCTGCCCCTCAGGCTAGTCCTGCAAACCTTTTCACAGAAATGCGAAATGTGACCCAAAATGAATGGCTTGTTTCTATGTGGGAGGGTAAGCTGCTCTCAAAAGGTGCGCCTGAAATTCCAGCTTGCACATTCCTAATTGTCCTCAGACACAGAGGAATGGCAGCTATGGCCAATGGCATGCCTTGCGTTCTGTGGTCCCAGAAATTGGATGCCTCCAATCAGCCTGGTGAACGCCAAGCAGGGCAAAACATACATATGCTGTGATTTTTCCTGCAGGAGCACAGATCTCGCCTCTCGTTTCTGTTTTAAAAACAGGCAAATTCCTGCTCCATGTGCCCACCAAGAAACACTCTTTTGAGGTTTGCGAACGAGTCACGCTGAAGTCTCCAAAGCCACACAGTGCAATGGAATTTCCCATCGTTGCAGGCCGAGCGTAGAAAGTTCCTTGTGCGGCGTTGCCATTGCATAGACGTGTGGGCACGATGCACGGCAGAATGCAAAATAGATAAAAGGTGAAAAATTTCAGGATCTGTAGAGCTGGCTGCCTCTGGAGTTTCTTGGCACACACAGACTTGCAAGGTACCAGGCTCAAGCATTTCTGCTTTCCTCCATCGTACATCACGCAACCTGTCTGCTAGGAAGAAAAAGTTATCCCCACCACGTCTTGAGTTTTTTCCCTTCTCTCTCTTTCCTGGGAAAACCTCTCTAGCTGACTTGCACCCCACAACCCAACCCAACAGAGCCAATTACCTGCCATTGTTCCTTCATGTCCCCCTTTCTCCTTTTCTCAAATTCCCCCTTCTCGTTTCTTCGGATCTCCGGGAGACCAGCTGGCATCAGACAAGCTTTCCGTCCCGCTGTTTATACCTTGGGCTTTCCGACGTCACTCTTTTGTGTGACTCACAGCGAGTTGCTCAGTTTCCCACTAGAGGGCTTTCGGGCCGGATAAACACAACCATTCATATTTTTTTTTCCCTTTCCTAAACCCACTAGCGTGCTAAGAAACTCAAGAGTACATTTGAGGACGGTGCACAATTTGGAGGGAGGCGGAAACTCCAGCCCATGATACAGAGTGTCCAGTTCTGTCGACATGACAGCTGATCTATCTTCTCGGGGCCTTTCTGGATTCAGGGCCGGACTGAAATATTCGCCCCGCTCCCCGATTCTTTGGCAAGCCGCCTGCCTCGGTTTTGCTAGGTAGCTTAGCACAAAGGAATCATTCTTCCAAGCGGTGGCAAATGTTTGCAAATACTTTAGCGGCAAGTCCTTCCTGCCTCTTTGAAACGATGCGTTAAAGGGGAGTTTGTTTGGCGCATAACAGCTCGAGCAACTCACTTCTCTGGTTTGGCGCATAACAGCGCGGCCTCATTTATCCAGTCGACATTCAGATAACTAGAGTGATAGGAACTGACAACGTTGATGTTGTTTAGTCGTGTTTGACTCTTCGTGACCCCCTGGATCAGAGCACGCCAGGCACTCCTGTCTTCCACTGCCTCCCGCAGTTTGGTCAAACTCATGCTGGTAGCTTCAAGAACACTGTCCCACCATCTCGTCCTCTGTCGTCCCCTTCTCCTTGTGCCCTCCATCTTTCCCAACATCAGGGTCTTTTCCAGGGAGGCTTCTCCTCCCATGAGGTGGCCAAAGTCTTGGAGCCTCAGCTTCAGGATCTGTCCTTCCAGTGAGCACTCAGGGCTGATTTCCTTCAGAATGGATGGTTTGATCTTCTTGCAGTCCATGGGACTCTCAAGAGTCTCCTCCAGCACCAGAATTCAAAAAATTCAAAAACATCAATGGGCATCATGTTGCATTCCGCCCGTGTTATGTACTGAGTTGAATAGAATCCAAAAGGCAGCAGTCTGATTGGTCCTAGAACAATAGGATTCAGAATGCAGCAGTCTGATTGGTCCTAGAACAATAGGATTCAGAATGCAGTAGTCTGATTGGTCCAAGAACAATAGGATTCAGAATGCAGTAGTCTGATTGGTCCTAGAACAATAGGATTCAGAATGCAGTAGTCTGATTGGTCCTAGAACAATAGGGTCCAGAATGCAGCAGTCTGATTGGTCCACAGGAGCCACCCAATCCAGCTCCAGGTGGAAGTGAATCCGCAACCTGATTGGCCTACAGGAGAATCCCGGAATTAGCCAATCACGTGGGGCCCATTGTGTAAATAATGTATATAAAGCAGACATTCTGGGGGAACTTCCATTCCTCCTCACCACTATGAGCTGAATAAAGAGCATGAAATCCACTCTTGACTAACCCTATATTTCACCCCTCAAGCAACGGCGCTTCCCTTCCGCTGCAGAACTCCTTGATGAGAGATACAGCACCTCACTAGAACCCAATGGGGTCATCCAATGAGGCCAAAAGTGAGAAGATTCAGGAGAGACAAACAAATGGACTTCGTCACAAAGCTCATAGTTAAACAATGGAATTTGCTGCCACCAGAGGCAGCGATGGCCACCGAGTTGGATGGTATTGTTATAAGAATTCTAAGGTTTCAAATATAAAATAAATGCTCACAAATGTACGAGTCAAGCACATACACAAGTATATAAACCATGTGTAGTACAGGAGAACAATCCTGAAGCCATTTTGTCTCTCCCAAATTGTCCTCAAATATTTCTCTGCAAGGAGGAAGGAAATGGGAAAAGCTTTCAGATTGTCTTTTGACCGTAAGGGCTTACACCTCCCTTTTCAAATGCAGTCTGGCAGCTACAATTCCCACAGCCAGTGCTTTCTTTTCCCAGCCAGAGTATGCTCTGGCGCAGTTCTGGCCCCTCTCAGTTGGGCGCCATCGCGAGCCGCCACTCCTCCTGGGGTTTTTTACCTGCCAATATCATTTTTCACCTGTGATCTCAGCCTTGATAAGCTGTTTAAGAGGGAAAGAAAACCCAGAAACTTAATAGGTCGAGACAGAATTGGGCAATGTTTATTGAAACCTGGCATAGTGGAGCATGTTCTCCACAAGATCCAGAATGTTTACTTGAGAGGATATCGCGTATACCAAGTGACGAAAGCGACAGCTTTAATGTTAAAACTTGAGTTACAACTTGGCCATTTGACAGACTAGGGCAGGCTTCCTCAACCTCGGCCCTCCAGATGTTTTGAGACGACACCTCCCATCATCCCTGACCTCTGGTCCTGCTAGCTAGGGTTCATGGGAGTTGTAGTCCCAAAACATCTGGAGGGCCAAGTTTGGGGATGCCCCGACTAGGGCCACATCCATACCATATGTTTAAAAGGCTGTGATACTGCTTTAAACAGTCATGGCTTACACCCCAAAGAATTCTGGGAGCTGTAGTTTGCTAAGGATGCTGTTCAGAGAGCTGTATCCCCCTCACAGAACTACAATTCCCAGAGGTCCCTGGGACGAGGGATTGATTGTTAAGCCCCTCTGGGAATTGTAGCTCTGGGAGGGGGACGAGAGGCCTCCTAACATCTCTCAGCACCCTTAACAAACTACAACTCCCAGGATTCTTTGAAGGAAGCCACAACTGTTTAAAGTGGGGTCGTAGTGCTTTTCTAAAAAATTAATCTGTATTGATTAAAAAATTTGCATGTCTGTACAGACATTCTCTTAATAGGTTAAAAAAAGAAAATTATATAAAATAGAAAATTTATAAAGAAATAAAAAATAAAGAAGTAACAAAGATAAGAAACAAAGAAACCAAAGAAAGACAAAGTTATTTACATGGTAAAAGGACTCATCGGCACAATCCTTTCCGTCCTTCTCATTATACTGTTTGATATAACATTCTTTTTTACACAGGTTTACATTAGTAAACATTACATTAGTAGTCCGCTTGGACTACTGCAATGCGCTCCACGTGGGGCTACCTTTGAAGGTGACCTGGAAATTACAACTAATCCAGAATGCGGCAGCTAGACTGGTGACTGGGAGCGGCCGCCGAGACCACATAACACTGGTCTTGAAAGACCTACACTGGCTCCCAGTACGTTTCCAAGCACAATTCAAAGTGTTGGTGCTGACCTTTAAAGCCCTAAACGGCCTCGGCCCAGTATACCTGAAGGAGCGTCTCCACCCCCATCACTCTGCCCAGACGCTGAGGTCCAGCTCCGAGGGTCTTCTGGTGGTTCCCTCACTGCGAGAAGTGAGGTTACAGGGAACCAGACAGAGGGCCTTCTTGGTGGTGGCGCCTGCCCTGTGGAACACCCTCCCACCAGATGTCAGAGAGAAGAACAACTACCTGACATTCAGAAGACATCTGAAGGCAGCCCTGTTCAGGGACGTTTTTAATGTGTGACATCTTAGTGTATTTTTTGTCTTTGTGGAAGCCGCCCAGAGTGGATGGGGAAACCCAGCCAGATGGGTGGGGTACAAATAATTTATTATTATTATTATTATTATTATTATTATTATTATTACATAATATCATTTCTTTCTGCATGGTATACGTTCCTTTCATCTTTTTCTTTACAAATATCACTCAATTTCTGCTAATGTGGAGTTACCGTATTTTTTGCACCATAACACTCACTTTTTTCCTCCTAGAAAGTAAGGGGAAATGTCTGTGCGTGTTATGGAGGGAATGCCTATGGGTGGCGGGGGGGGGGGGTGATCTGCTGCAGTTGTGAGCAGAGGATCCATGGTTCCCCTTCCTTGCCTCCTCCGTGGCTCGCTTTGAAACAGCAAAGCGGGAGAAGAGCCGCTGAGTGGGGAGGAGAGAGGGACAGAGAGCCTGCTTGCTTTAAAGCACGGATCCACATGGATCCTCAGGATTTTTGCACTGGGTCACCCCAAATTCACCATCAGATCACATAGCATGTCCATGGCTACAGCTTGCACCAAAAAAATCACGCACCCACTGTTGCCTGGGGCCGCAGTGGTGCAAAAACGTGGTTACAAAGCATGGATCCACATGGATCCTCAGGATTTTTGCATTGGGCTACCCCAAACTCACCGTCAGATCACATGTCTGTGGCCACAGAATGAACCACAAAAATCATACATCCACTGTTTCGTTCAGAATATTTTTTTTCTTGTTTTCCTCCTCTAAAAACTATGTGCGTGTTATGGTCGGGTGCGTGTTATAGAGCGAAAAATACGGTATTTGTACAATAAAGTTGCTTTAAATGTATTACTAGCCTAAGACCTTCTTTAAACCAGAGTAGAACCCATCCACTTCTAAATAGAGAAATCTGAGGATTAGGAAGTGTTGTGTTTCCAAGACATCCCAACCTTGCAGAAGTGAAGGTCAGGGCCGTCTTAAGCATATCCGGCGCCATGGTGCAAAGCTCCCTCTGGCGTCCACCCAGTTTCCCAGAATTGTCCACCTTTTTTTAGGGAGGACAGCGCTGCTGGCGGGGCTGGAGGAGGCTGGCAGCAGCTGGAGGGCAGCTCCTCTGGCGGGGAAGAGGCACAGGCTAGACGCGGCGCCTCCCAGCTCAGCTGGACACTTTGTGCTGTGGTGGCCACGGCAGACGGAGGCTCTGGGCGTGGCGCTGCTTTGGCGCAGCCTGGCAGGTGAGGGCAGCAAGCTGATGCCAGGAGGCGCCGCATCCAGCTTCCGCCTTTTTCCCTGGCGCCCTCCAGAACTTGGCACCCCATGCCACTAGCCTCTATGGGTAAGACGGCCCTGGTGAAGGTAAAGGCGATGGGCGTGGGGAAAAGATCCCTCCTTTTCTTGTTTTGAAGCAATAATAATAATAGTAATAATAATTTATTATTTATACCCCGCCCATCTGGCTGGGTTTCCCCAGCCACTCTGGGCAGCTTCCAACAAAACACTAAAATACAATAACCTATTAAACATTAAAAGTTTCCCTGAACAGGGCTGCCTTCAGATGTCTTCTGAATGTCAGGTAGTTGTTTGATGGGAGGGCGTTCCACAGGGCGGGCGCCACCACCGAGAAGGCCCTGTGCCTGGTTC